TCAGTCCAGTACTTTTTCAACCACAAATTCTTCAGGCTCTGCCTCTTCAACATTTTTACTCTTTCCATTCTGTTTCTTAGCCATATTTTTGCAATGCAGTTTTATTGGAGGCCATTTTTTATTGCAGACTTGAAGAGTTCACTACTCTGAGCTGTTCTGGGTCGTGGGTCTGAAGCATCTGAGATAAACTTTTGAAGCTTCCACCTGAATGAGAACAGGATATTTCTCTTTCTGTGTCTGGCTTATTTCACTTAACATGATGTCCTCCAGGCCCATCCATGTTACTGCAAATGGCAGGATTTTATTCTTTTTTTATGGCTGAATAATATACTATTGTGTATAAGACAGAACTTCAGAAAGTTCAGGAACAAACATAATTAAAGTACAAATTTATGTTGGTGCATTATAAAACATTCATGCAACTTTTTCATAGTACACATTTTCTATTAACTTTTGAAGAACCCTTATATATCTATTTACCATAATAAAAGAGGTTCATCTGTTGATGGACATTTAGGTTCGTTCTTTAGCTTGGCTATTATAAATAGTGCTGCAGTAAACACAGGAGTGCAGCTATCTCTTCAACGTACTGATTTCATTTCCTTTGGATACATACCCAGTAGAGGGATTGCTGGATCATACAGTAGTTCTGTTTTTACTTTTTTGAGGGACCTCCCAAACTATTTTCCATAACTGTACTAATTTACATTCCTATCAACAGTGTATAACAGCTGTTTCCTTTTTTAAGAAGGATTTTTTGGGGCTGGCAGGTGGCCTGGTGGTTAAGATGCTGGACTACACATGACCGACTGCAGTTTGAATCCCATACCTGGTGGCTTGCTTTCTCACTTTCTTTTTCTCTCTCTTTGGTCAAATTACAGAATAATAAAAATGAATAAAATATTTTTTAACAAAAAGGATTTTTAAAAATATTTTATTTCTTCCATGAGAGAGGCACACAGGCACCCTAAACCCACCGTGCCTCAGCCAGCCTAAATCAGAGCATGCATACCCATGGCATGCTCAGGGAGGTCCTGGGACATGAACCCAGCACCTTTGCCATGTGGGCCCAGTTGTGTTACTGTTCTGCAGCTATCCAGCCTCAATAGTTCTCTTTTCTTCATATCCATGCCAGCATTTGTTGTTTTTCTGTATTTTTGATAATAGCCATTCTCATTGGAGCTATGTAATATCTCATTGTCGTTTCCCTGATGAGTAGAAACGTTGCACTGTTTTTCATTTCAGGTGGCCATTTGCAGATATGTTGAAAAATGTCTGTTGAGGTCTTTTGTCCATTTAAAAACCATACTTTTTTTTTTTTTTACTATGAGTTGTGACAATTCTTTATGCATTCTGGATATCAACCCTTTGTCAGATGTATAGTTTGCAAATATTTTTGCCCTTCTGTAGGGTACTTCTTCACTCTTGATTGTTTCCTTTGCTGTGCAGAACCTTTTTAGTTTGATATAATCCCCTCTATTTTGTATATTGCTGGTTGTTTGTGTTTTTAAGGTCTTGTTCATAAATTCTTGCCCAGAACAACGTCATGAAGCATTTCCTCTATTGTTTTTTTTTCTGGTAGTTACAGTTTCAGGCCTTATATTTACATCTTTAATCCATTTTGAATTGATTTTTGTATTTGGTAAGAGGGGTCTAATTTCATTCTTCCACTTACGAATATCTAGTTTTTCCAACATCATTTATGAATGACTGTCCTTTCCCTAATGTGTTTTTGATGTTTTTGTTGAAAGTCACTTGGCTGTAGGTGCATGGATTTATTTGTGAATTCTTTGTTCTGTTTCACTGGGCTGGCTGTGTGTCTATTTTTATGCCAATATCACGCTGTTTTGGTTACTGTCGCTTTGTAGTATATTTTGAAATCAGATAGCGTGATGCCTCTGGCTTCCTCTCCCCTCCCCCAAGATTGCTTTAGCTGTTTGGGGTCTTTTATGGTTCCATGAATTTTAAGAGTTGTTTTTCTATTTCTGTGAAGAATGTCATTGGCATTTGATAGGAATTGCTTTGAATTTGTAGACAGTTGGATAGTATGGACGTTTTCATAATACTAATTCTTCTATCCATAAATGGGTTTTTCAATGGGGAGGGTCTTCAATTTATTTTGTCAGTGTTTTACAGTTTGTATTGCAGAGATCTTTCATAAGAGATTCATACTTTATTCAAAGTAAAAAAGCTATTCTGTATGTTCTTCTAAAATTGTTAGTTAGGGTCTTTCCTTTCATGTGTAGGTACTCAATTCATCTAGATTTTATTTAGGTATATAATACAGGGTAAGGAATTTCATTTTTCCCTTTCGTTTGCTTACACAGTTGCTCAAGAATTACGTATTTAAAAAGTCATCATTTCCCCCACTGATGAACAGTACCATTCTGTCACATATTAAATTTCTAATGATAGATTTTAAATTACTATAGCTTAAAAATGAGTTTTTGTATCTACTAGGACAAGTATATTCTGGTAGGTATCACCAACCTGGGACCACCATAAATCAGTATCTTGATTTTAGGTTTTGTAAATTTTACTATAGACCTATCTTAGGATAGGCCTGTGGCTGCACATCTTTACCGGTTTATCTTCTTCCTGGAGCTGTGTGTGAAGCTACCATTTTCCTGGTAACTGCCCTTTGCTGGCAGATGGATTTTTTTCCTAGCCCATTAACAGGGACCTTAAAGGATCTCTGTTTAATGGAAGTGTTTCACAGTAAGTAACCCCAAGACACAGTCTCCCACCCACCAAACTGAAGTTAGCCTTTGCCTGTAGGTCTATCCAGATTTTTAAGTTCTCTTACAGAATTTATTTAAATTTGCTGTATCTTTTGAGGGATAAGGAAAGGAGAGGAGGTTTGTTTTGTGGGGATTTCCCTATCAAGCTATCAGTGGTTAAAAGGTATTATTAAAAGGTATTTTTTAAAGGTATCTGTCAACTGGGTATTCAAAGGTATGCTTATAAAAATTTACTCAGTATTTACATTATAGTGAGAGAACTTTCTAAGAGCATGATTCACCATATTGCCAGAAGTATAAATGTGCTTTGGTTTTGGTCAACAAGTAAAAAATCAAAAACAAAAAAATAGCTGCTGTGAAGTATGTTTAAGAAGTAGGAGAGCAGCCTTATCTGTTCTGAGGCGTCATTAATGGAGATACAGAGACCAAGAATTGAAACTATTTGAATTCTGTTAAACAGACCACAGTAAGAGTCTTATATTGCATATTTAAGATGGCCAAAAATAGAGTGATGGTTAGAGTTATACTATAGCTTCTGTAACCAATAATTCCTATTTTTTTCCAGGGCTGTTTAATAGTGGGGAGAAATTTTTTTTTTTTAGAGAGGTTTTTTCGCTATAGGGCGCGTACGCTCACCAGACAGACAGAGACAGAGAGACAGAAAGCGGGAAATCACCCCCCAGGGGGGATGGTCATGCTGCAATCCCTTCTCCTCCATTCTCCTCCCGGGATCCTGGGCACGCACGCACACGCGCCCGGCGTGAGTTTTAAGCCACCAGGTCTGGGACGCAAACCGCGGTTGACTACATGGGAGTCCAGCGACATAGCCATTACGCTAACTGCTGGTCCCCTAGTGGGGAGAAATTTTCACAGCCTGTTTGGGAAAAGAGGGATACAAAACCTGATATAGTCCTAATATTGTTTAAAACACAGGAAGAAAAATTATTTGGCAGTTAGGGGCAAAGTGACAGATTATTTTCCTTTTACCATAAGGTAGGCACCACCATGCCTCCAAATATTTTCTTTTTAAATTTTTGTATTCCAGATTTTTGCTATAATGGCGCGTGTGCTCGCCAGAAAGACAGAGAGACAGCGAGACAGCGAGAAATCACCCCCCAGGGGGGATGGCCACGCCACAACCCCTTCTCCTCCATTCTCATCTCGGGATCTTGGGCATGCACGCACACACGCCCAGTGTGAGTTTAAGCCGCTGAGTCCGGGACTCAAACCACGGTCAACTACGTGAGTCCAGAGACATAGCCATTACGCTAACTGCTGGTCCCTGTATTGCAGATGTTCTACAACAGGGAAAAATTGGGGGGGGTGTACTGATAAGCTAGAAAGAATCCCCTTGGAGAAGTCAGACATCTAGAAAACAAACCAAGAAAACTCAATGTATTTGTCATCTCGACAAGTTATTTATTTTTTTGGGGGAGAGGTTTTTTCGCTATAGGGAGCGTGCGCTCGCCAGACAGAGAGACACAGAAAGCGAGATATCACCCCCCAGGGGGGATGGTCACGCTGCAATCCCTTCTCCTCCATTCTCCTTTCGGGATCTTGGGCACACATGCACACGCGCCCGGCGTGAGTTTTAAGCCACCAGCTCCAGGACGCGAACTGCGGTCGACCACGTGGGAGTCCAGCGACATAGCCATTACGCTAACTGCTGGTTCCCGACAAGTTGATTATTTTGAAATGTCAGATGATGTCCTGAAATCTCACGGTCCCTAACATGTGGTGCTCAGCCGTACCAGGCGCTGTGCTGCACCTGGGGCACAGTGAGGCGTGCCTGGCCAAGTCCCAGCAGGCCCCCAGTGTGGCTTGGCACTCGCCAGTACTGCCTTGTATCCTACCAGGAACCGTACATTATTCAGACCTCTTTCTTTCTTTTGAGAGACTTTTACTATAGGGCATGTGCTGAAGAGACAGAACATGAGAAATCACCCCCTGTGGGCATGGCCACATCACAATCCCTTCCCTTCCATTCTCCTCTCAGGTTTTTTGACACACACACACACACACACACACACACACACACACGTCTGGTGTGAATTTTAAGCTACCGGGCCCAACACTTGAACCTTGGTCGACTACGTGGGAGTCCAGCGATGTAACCATTACACCATCTGCTGGTCCCGTTCAGACCGCTTTCATTCATTCTGGTCTACTGTCAGGATGTAGTGGCGAGGGAGGAGAGTACCTGAGGCAGGAGGTGGGATTACTGTTCGGTGACGCATTTTATATCAGAGACGATACAGCTTTCACAGAGTGATATATTTTCATTCGTGACTATGTACAGTTTTCATATTTATTTAAAGAATATCATACAACTGATATCTTCTGAAATGTTTCATGCTTTTCTTTTAAACTCTTCTGTTGACACTTACCTAACATGGCATTAAAATGAAAGTGGTCAAATACCATGACAATAGAAAGCAACCAGCCAACATAGCTAGGTCTTAAATTTACTGATCAACATTAGCAATAGTTACTTCATAATAAATTATTCATTTAAAAATCAGTAGTAATTTTAAACAATTCATAAATAAGTGTGCTCTGTGCAATGTACACATTTAATAACCATGGATACTAAAAGTTTATGTATTGTCAGCTCTGCACATTGTTACTTAATCAAATAAGCTTTCCCAAAGACGAAACTGGAGAAGCTTGAGATAACACCTAAGGGGCTCGAGGGTGTCAAAGCCCCGCCTGCTTCACGGGAGGCGGCTCCAGTTTTCGGGAGAGGGCAGTTAAGATCTGGTTGAACTTCTCATACCGCTCGGCCTGACTGACTTGTGCACCTTTGCTGCCCCATAGCAGTCGCATTTGAAATTCAGTCTTGAAGATTTCACTCATTTCTTCATCTGGTTGAAACCCTAATGAAAACAAAACAAAGTTACTTCATTTTTGTGTGCTTAAAAACATAGTGTCAAGAACGAACTGAAAACTTGTTTATTGAAAGAAGCAAAATGCACTTCATCTTTCAGAACTTTAAAAAATACCCCCAGAGGGAAATACAAGATCTCCTGTACATGGCAGAGGTTGGGGGGTGGGGGTGAGGGGCTCACCCCTCCCTCCGGGAGGTGCCCTCGGATGGAAATAACACTCTCACTAAAAGCCTGAAAGAAGGAGATGCACAGGCCCCTGTGGGCGGTCGTGCTGTGGGAAGGCGTGTTTGCAGGGCCGTGTGTTTGTTTTTGTTTCTAACAACGGGTGTTTAATTTCATGCTGTGATTCACCTATTCTAGCAGCACGGTTTGATTCATGACAGTAAATTTACGTAGCCACACAACCATCACCACCAGCTTGAGAATGCTTCCATTACTTTAGGAAGTTCCCGAGGACCTCTTCTGCAGTCCATCCTTCCAACTGCCGATCTGCTTTCTGTTGTAACTGTTTTGCCATTTCTAGAAATTTGATATAAATGGAATCATACAGTATGGACTTTTTTGTGTCTGGCTTCTTTCACTTGGCATGACGTTTTTGAGATTATGCCATACCTTACACGCTATCCGATAATTCACTCCTTTTTTTATTGCTGAATGCTATTCAGTTATATGGACATAACATGTTTTGTTTAGCCATTCACCAACTGATGGACATGTGGATTGTTTCCAGTTTATGGTGACTATGAATAATGTTGGGAACATTTGTGTACAAGTCTTTGTGTGGACATGTGTTTTCGTTTCTCTAGGAGTGAATTACTGTTGGGTCATATGGTGAGTTTATGTTTATTTTTAATGAAATTGTCAAACTCAATGAAACTGTCACTCTCTATTCCAAAACGGCTGCACTGTCTCCTCTTCACACATGCGCTCAGCATGAGTTTGAACACAGGAAGATTCCAGTCTCTCCGTAGTTCTGGCATCCTTTCACAGCCATTCTAGAGAGCGCGTGGTGGTCTGTTGTTGTGGTTTACATTTACATTTCCCTAATGATGAATGCTTTGAACATCTTTTCATGTAATTATTTGTCACTCCTGTATCTTTTCTGATGTAGTATCTGTTTAAATATTTTGTCTGTTTAAATCTTGTCTTCTTCCTGAGTTGTAAGAATATTTTATTTTTAAAATTATTTTCCAGAGGGTGCACGCACTTGCTGGAGAGGAAAGAGGGAAAGTGCAAAAGCATCGCCCCTCATGGGGAGTAACAGTGGTACCACATCCCCTTCTCCCATGCATGTTTGTTTGTTTTCTTAAGAGAGATTTTTGCTGTCAGGTGCATGCACTCACCAGAGAGACAGAGAAAAAGAAATGACCCCCCTGTGGGGATGGCCATGCCAGAATCCCTTCTCCTCCATTTTCCTGAGATTTAGGGTATGCACACACATGTTCCCAGGATGAGTTTCAAGCTGTCAGGTCCGGGATTCAGACTGCAGCTGGCCATGTGGGAATCCAGTGCCTTAACCACTACACCACCTGCTGGCCTCCCACAGCATGGTTCTTAAGCCACCAGGTCTAGGACTTGAACTGAGTAGCTGGCCATGTAGGATCCAGCTACGGTAAACACATGCAATGGACTGGCCCAAGATTCTCCATGTATGCTACATATAAGTCTTTTATCAGATATATAGTGAGGAAGTGCTTTTTTTCCCCCCAATCTGTCTCAGTTTTGCACTTTCTTAAAGGTGTGTTTTGAAGAACAAAGTTTAAATTTGATTTATTAACGTTTTCTTTCATGGTTCTTTGCCTAATTCAAGGACACAAAGAATTTCTCCTATGTTTTCTTATAGAGAAGCTCTATACTTTAGCTTTTAAATTTTGGGTCTATAGAGGACCAGCAGTTGGCACAATGGCTATGTCGCTGGACTCCCATGTAGCCAACCGTGGCTTGAGTCCTGGACCCAGTGACTTAAACTCACACCAGGTGTGTGTGTGTGCATGTCCAAGATCCCAAGAGGAGAATGGGGGAGAAAGGATTGTAGTATGGCCATCTCCCCGGGGGGGTGATTTCTCTCTGTCTC